GGCTGAATGTAATCTCCAAAGCTTTCTGTAAATATTGCAGCTGTAAATAAATCCCCAAAATCAATAGCTCTGTAAGTGTTCGACATTGGATGCTAACCATATTAGTTTTAGTGGACTCATTTAGTTGAAGGCGCTCGGTCATGCATCCGTACCAGATCACGTTTTGGAACGGCGTGCTCAACACTCCTGTGATGATTAGCCAGATTAGATCAGTCACTTCTCGATATATTGATAATCCATCAAATATATCTTTCAACCTCCTCGCTTCTGGCTTTTGATTTCACTGGGTGGCCGCAATTCGATTATAGAAGGTGTTACTGGTAAAGTATTGTCAAACTACAATACCGGTGGTATCTTCAATATCACCTCTGAACTGTAATTCCAAGTATATATGCTGTTTTAGTACGATCAGTGATTTCACTTTAGGTTACATTGTAAATGTTTGTTCCATTAGGAACTTTGATGTGTATCTATGCTTACTTAGGGAATCTTTAATGCGTTTTAGTTTCTGGTTAAGACGGTCTTTAGAATAAATAATTTAGGCTCTGTGAGGCAAACATTTCAAAAAGTTTCCCATATATTGCAATGAAACAAAGCTAGAAAAGCGTGTAGATTGATTTTGAGTATTCGGTTTACTGTTATTATTGACCCATCAGTTTTTAATTCCACAAGACATCTAAAAGGGAGATGGCGTCGTCCTTTTCTCCTTTTATTGTGAAAGTGACTCCTCGGTAGACCCTAATAAATGTTTCTAGTAAGCTCTGAGCTTCGCTATTGTTTCTTGTGGCTGTAAAGGTATCATTTATATAGCTACAATAAAATTATAACTTGCCTATCATATCTTTGAAGGACCGTTTTCTAATTTTCCAGGACGAAATCAGCTACGATTGATACAAATGGTGTAGTATAGCGACAACGTTATATTGTGGGGATAGGCATAACAAACCTATTTCGTAAACAGATTTTAATATCATATGTATTTATTCTGTACATTTATCATAAAATGATTGAACAGGCTGTTTAAGTGTATGACCTTGAACACACTCTTCCGTTTTTTTGAATCCCTCATAGCATGACGTACTGTTAACCGCTCGTAAATGCACTATTACATACACGACTCTCGTTCTCTATTGCCTGTTGTAAGATCCATTTTGAGTGTTTCCTGTGTGAAAATCCCTCCATACATTCATTTGCAACGTGTTCTTAATGGTTTTTTCAGTTGTACATTTTTGTTAGTCTTTTTGATGCCATTTGAGATTGTATTGTTTCATTTCGTAATAGTTTTCTCTTTTGCTTCCACTGAGTTTCTATGTTTCTTTCTGAACTGTATCTATGTTGCTTTAGTTGATATTTAGTCTTGGTGGCAGCCATATTGATTGTTCCCTCTTTGATTGTGTTGCTTGATTTGACTGGGATCGTGCATTGTGGTTGTGAATTGAAGCACATTCCCAGAATTGGAAACACTTTGTGCTATAAAACAACAAACTATTATCCTTTGAACGGATTTTTACTTGATCTATCCAGCAAGGAAAGAATGACACTTATTTTTTGGTGCGTTCCTTAATTTTTTTCTATTTCTTATCAATTTGTCTTTTTATTGTAATTTAGATCGATTATTGTGGGAACAATTATTGGTTGAATAAGTGGATGGTAATATTTGTTTAGGTAAAATTGTACGTTTGTACTTATTATTATTATTATTATATCAACATTTCGACGTAATAACTTTATTGCTATTTTCGAGTTAATATAATTTTTGGTCCGCCACAAGATTGTTTATAGAGTTTTTTCTAGAACAATAAGTGAATATTCACAGTACATTTATAGCGATATGTATATTCAATGATTTTTGTAATGATAAAATAAAGACGCTATCCTTTATTTATGGCTCTTTTTGTGTAATCACATGTATATTCAATATCTATTGTTTCTTTGTATCAATTGTAAAAGACGGACATAATTGTCCGGCTACACTAACACAAATACCCTACCTGTTATTAAAAAAGAACTGCTATCTCAGTAGTCTGTCCTACTTTATTGGTCACGGTCTGTGATTGAAGGCTATAGTAGTATTATATCATTCTGGGATTCCTAGTTCATACTGTGGAGACAGGACTATTAAACCTATTAAACAATTTTTGATAGCTTTTTTGTTTATTTTGTGTATTTTCGCATTCTGTACATTTATCGCTAAATAATTGTATTTGTTATTTAAGTGTATGACCTTGAGCACTTGCTAACTAACCTCCTTCCGTTTTTGAATTCGACATAGAACGACATTGTAGCCGCTCACCAATAAATACACTCTAATACACACACGCCTCGTTCTATTATGCTTGTGAATATGATAACTGAACTATTAATTGATTATCATCTACATTTATAGACTATTGTGACATTCACATTACATTCTACGTTTAGCAAACTTACTGGAGCCACATCAATCATATTAGGATTATTAATTATCTATAATTGTGGATTATTGGTACCAAACTCAATCGAACACGCAACAGCCGGCCGATTTAAGTAACGTCCCTAAACTTTTATTTGCGTTAATAACTCATAAGTTGTTTTGTTGTTTCATCAACTTTTGGACGTAATAATTTTATTGTTATTTTTTGGTTAATATACTTTTTGGTCCGACACAGTACTAAAATTCAAATACTCCTAATTATCACAACACTACAAACCAAAGTGTCTGTTTCTGAGTAAAGCAAAAAGGTAACAAATAACACAATGCAAAGTTGAATAATAAATAAAAAAGCTTTGACGGTTGTTATGAAATGAAATGTAAGCTCTTTCAGAGTCAACAAACAAAAATTAGTCCACGTGACTAGCAAAGCTTCCCTGGTACGTGGTGGAACCAAACGCATGAGGAGAAGGATTACATCCGATAATATTAAAGATATCACGGGTATTCTGGATTTGACATCGCCTTTACACATACCAACTTTATATTTGAAGCATACCAAAATAACCAAATCAGAAATGAAGTGGTTCGGAGATATATTTGAAGGGCTACCGATATGTTGAGGATCATTTTTTAAAGTTGACTAGCATTTGAAAGGGATGCGAAGAACTGTGCACCCACTTGTGATCCAGTTTTGATGCGTGACCGAAGGCCTTCAACTACGTGAGTCCAGTAAAACCAATGTGATCAGTGTGAAATGTCGAAGATATACAGAACTATTTATTTTGGGGATTCATTTACCACTGCAGTTCACTCCCTTCTTAAAGGAGCAGTGATGATCCTAAGACATGACCAGTCAGAAGTCTAAAACCAACGAGTTCGTCCTTGGCAAACTCTCTTCTGATAGCTTAATATATTTAGTAGCATCTAATTATCTTTCCCTTCTATAAGCGGCTACGTGATACAATATAATAATGAAAAACAGGTACAATGAAAATTCCGATTCATCGCAATCTTCTTCGGTTTTTCATTCCTTTTCCAGCTGTCCTGGGAAAGAAAAATAAAGGATATGTAAGTGCATGTCGAATTACGTGCATAAGGACAAAAAACGGGCGAGAGAAAGTAAAATAAACTTATGTACATGCGTTTTGCAAACATGGATTAGGGCGGGAACGATTTTTGCACAATGATCTTTTTGGAAATATTTATATATATACATATATATGAGCATATTGGAAAAAATGTTCGGTTTTGTTTTTTCACACGTTAATACAAAAAATAGAGATAAACAAAATGTTATGTAGTATCCTACGTTCAGTAATCGTTTGTGTTCAGGAAATTTTACCCTTCTTTCAGAGTGTGCTGTTTTAGGCCGGTTATAAGATACCAGAGTAGTTTCTTTGCGACTGCTGATTATCAGGTGGGGTTTCTTAAATGACAGGCTCGTGTCGATCGAAAGTACGGGAAGAAAATCAGTATGATTAGGGTTTCCTCCTAGATACGCGACTTTGGGACGGTCAATACCGATGTTATCGTTAGTCTCGTTTTTATCGATGATATAGTATCTAGATCTACGGTGAAGGACTTTGAAGGGTCCTTCGTATGTCATTTCAAGCGGTTGTTGCAATTAGTTGCAACGAACAAAAAACGTGTGCACTAGGCTGGTTTAAGTGAACGCATAACTGTTGTAAGCCTTCTCGAGTTTAAATCCACGCTCACTGAAGAATTTGAAGATCTACAAATTCTCCTGGAAGTCGGAGTGTCACCTTTCACTGCATTGCGAATATCGAGTTTAAGTAGTGGGAGAGCGTCGGTTCACTGTGAAACGTTTGCAGCTGAGAGCGAAGCTTTAAGCTATCAGTGAAAGCATTCTATCAACTCATTTTCTTATAGGTGGTAGGTGGTCGTTCGAAATCGTGTGGTTCCTAGTAGTGCCGTGAGACGACGGAAAAGTCTAGATTCGAAATGGCGTTTACTGTCTGTAGTGATAGTTCAAGGGCAGCAAAAGTTTGCCACTCATTCTTCGACGAAGGCGCGGGTCAATGCCTCAGTAGTAGTGTCCTTGATTAATGATGCTTCTGGTCATTGTTTGAGATGGCATACACACGTTAAGAAGTAAGAGTATCCATTTGAATCTGATAAGGATCCTACCAAACCAAGATGAACATGGTCGAAACGAGCGTTGGGAGTTTGGGACGAGCCTAAGAGACAATTGTTGTGTCAAATCACCTTAGATTTCTGGCAGCTTACACAGGAGCGTGCTCACTCCCTCACGTCTTTATTCGTCCCAGGCCAGCAATACCGTTTTGCTATAAACTTGATGGTTGCACGAACACCTGGATGTGAAGGTTTGTGCAATGTATTGAAGACGTTGCGCCGACAATTTTGCTGTACGATTGGGCAAAATGTTTTATCGTCCGCACAGATCGCCAACATTGATGATCTACTACTTGTTTAGCACTATTTTTCCCTTTCATATGCATATTTTTTAACTTTCTCACGATAATCGTTATAATTATATCATTACTAGTTCTTCCATAGTTGCATCAAGTTTGGAATTTGGAGGTTTTGTTTTATACACTCAACGATTGTTTACAGTAACTTATTCGTTGCGCCGCGCTTTTTAAAAAGGAAATTGGTAAATCTATTTCGATAATTCGTTACGTAACAAGACCACCGTTTCACTTTAATTGAATCTACTTCAGTTAAAGTGTTTGCTTAGGATATCGTCATTGTTTTTACAAATTAGCTTATCGTCGTTACGTTTGAGTAGTTTTTCTGTCATATCTGTTCGAGACTATAATTTATGGACGTCCTTTGAACGAATAGTCATCAATTTCCTTCGTCTCCGGAGCTTATTGTATCTACTTTCATTTTGAAAACCTTTGTTTGATGTCTTGTCAGTGCAGGGAAAAGAATTGCAACGGTCAAATTATCGATACCTCTTTGAAAGTGGCATGTAGTGCGACGAGTGCAAAGTATGGTGTCACGAAGTTTGCACGATTCTAACACCTATGGCTTTGAAGCAGTTTGTTAAATATGTTTGCATGTGATTTTGTCAGCAGTGCTGCTCGGACGCCAACAGCTTGCTAACCAAGGCAATTTTAATGGTCAGTGCTGCTAAAAAGTGTATTAGCAAACGAGGTCGAGACACATCGGACAGTAATTACTCTGTTGACACACAATTTGATGTGAATTCACTTTACGTAAGCTCTGTAATAGTTGACTTACATGGGTTAAAGGAAGGAATTCCCTCCTTTAAGACTTACTTCAAAGTGGTCTGTCCTAAATAAAAACAAGGAAGGAAGTTTCCTCTGTCCGCTGTGCTCTAAGTGGAAGCCGGCTGGAAACGCCTAAGAAACTCGATCTCAAGGCCAAGTCTGTTTCTAGCAGGAAAAACAACCTGATTGCCTAAGTAGTCGATAATCTTCCAGAATCCTATAGTGTTTGACGCGACTGCGGTTGCTACTACAACGGAAGTTGATGAATGGTTACAGGTCGAGAACAAGAAACGACATAACGCTATTAAAAGAAAGCTACACCCCCGAAAAAAGCGAAGAAATCAAAGACTGATCATAATGACAGATCATTTATCTTTCATAGAATTAAGGAGAGTGAATGCTCAGAACCTAAAAGTCGTTTTGATCATGACATTAGGTTGTTAAAACAGCTACTAAAGCAGCTTATGCCTCAAGATATCTCCGGTGTCACCTTGCTAAAGGTGTTTAGACTAGGTAGCCAAACGAGTATGAAACAGAATGAAACCAGGCTGCTTAAAGTAATATTTAAATCTCCCAATGAATGGGACTTAGTACTACAAAATAGACATAAACTAAAGGGGCTAGGAGTTTTAGTCCGTAAGGACTTGCCGCTCTCAGGTGTTGTGAAAAGGCGAGAAGCCGAAAAAGAACTAAAACTTAGGTTTAAAAGCTGGCGACAAGGACCAAAAAATTGTAAATTTTCGGGTTGTGAGGCCTCGTCAAAGAACTATTCTGAAGCCACTATGGGTGCGGCACGGAGCCATCTAAATAGGCTTCACAAATACCCGGAGCTTGCTCAATAAGCGGTCGGAACTAGATGTACAGATTGACTCTACCGAGCGGATGTAACCACAGTCACAGAAACTTAGCTGAAGCAGCCTATAGACAGTATGGAATTTGATTTTGAAGGTTTTACATTAGTAAGAGCCGACAGAGTCCAGAAGCGTAAAGGAGGGAAAGTAGCTCTTTTCATTAGGAATACTATCCCATCCACCATTATCGTCAGTATCCCATGAGAGTCGGACGTGTGAATCAGTTAGTTGCCGCTTAAAATGCAAAAACAAGAACTGCTGATTGGTTTGGTCTACCGCAGTTCAAGGTGTTTGGTAAATGAGGTCTTGCTAGACGGTCTCAATACTTGGTCACAAAGTGGTCGATGTCTAATCCTAAGAGACTTTATTTAGTGCACTTGCGATAGAATGAAAAAATCTGAGAACTGGATTGTCAGAAAATTCCTTCGAGCATGAACTATTTGATTAGGTTACCATATGTGTCCCAGCGCAACATGCAAGAGAAGCGACTAGGTACAACCCAGATTCTGAACCATCCTTACTAGATCTTGTATTGACCCATTATGAGAATGACGTCAGTAACCTCGATTACATGCCATTTCTAGGTAAAAGTGATCATATAGTTCTAATCTTTGACTTTATATAATTGTCAAAAACGAGCACGCATCAGTCCGACGCAGACCTAACCTCTAGACAGAAAATATAGAAGACATTATGCACTCAGCATCCTTAGTAGACTGGACAATAGAGCCAGAGTCGCCAATTGAAACAGCTTGGGATGTATTTCGAAATTTGTACTTAAAAGTCATCACACCGCTCATCCCTTGGACTACACGAAGGGGTCCGATAAATTCCTCCCCCTTATTCAGTACTTCTCCGCAAAAGAAGAACCTGGGACAGATTTAGGTTATTGGGGACTGATGAGACAAACTATCAATATCGAGAAGCTAGGAATACTTGTGCCTCGACCTTCCGTTAGTCTGGAAGGCTGTACGAAGAAAAAATCGTTAAGGAATCTATAGAATGCCCTAAACGCTTGTATTCGTATATAAACCAAAGGACTAAAAGAAGAGGAAATATTCCAGCACTGTGGGTAGACAGTAGTGCTTCATCATCAGAGGAGGTTGACTATGGTAAAGCTCAAGCATTCTCAAAGTACTTTAGAAATGTTCACACTGTAGAAGCACCCTTCTCGTCAGTCCATACAAATCCCCCATACACACTGGACAACGTGACCATTAAAGAATTCGGTCTTTTTGGTCTGCTAAATAAGCTGAATATAAGCAAATCCACGGGACCTGATGAAATACATCTTAGGTTACTAAAAGAATTAGCTAACTTTGTCGCGAGTCCCTTGAGTATATGCTTTAATTTATCAGTAACCCAAGGTTGATTACAAAGAGACTGGAAGAATGCCATAGTAAGTCTTGCCTTCAAAACAGGTACGAAACATAAACCTGAGGACCACCGACCTGTTATTAGAATTTTAAAAAAGATCATTCAGAAGAGCTGCTTAAATATCTCGATGAAGACTGAATCCTTTCGGAAAAGCAGCATGATTTTAGAATAGGTTATTCTTGTCTCACTAACTTATTAGGGCTCATGAAAGTTAGTGCGCTCTTAAAGACCACAAGTTACCTATAGACGCAGCCTACATTGACTTCAGCAAAGCTTTCGACAAGGTTTCTCACAACCGGCTGTTATATACGCTAAGAAATGTCGGGATTGGAGGCAATCTATTGATGTGGATAAAAGACTTCCTAGTTGGGCGCCAACAAAGAGTACAGGTGAACTCCGAGTTGTCTAGCTGAGAAACTGTGCTTAGCGGAGTGCCTCATGGTACAGTTTTGGGGCCAGCGCTATTCCTCTTGTATGTAAATGACCTTCATCGTCTCCTATCATAATCGGTCTTCTTATATGCTGACGATGCCAGGATATGGAGAGTGATAAGATGTAAGGGTGACAGCTTAGAACTCCAAAATGACATGGGAAAATTATCTGAATGGTCTCAAACTTCGCAGTTGCCGATAAACACTTCGGAGTTCATTGTGATGCATATTGGTCGTCAAGGTACAGATACATACATGATGAATAACATCGAGCTACCTGTCGTCCAGACATACAATGACTTAAGAGTCATCGTTAGTCAAGATTTAAAAACTACTGCAAACTGCCTCGCGATAGCCACCAAAGGCTTTAGAACCCTATGGTCAACAGATAGGGTCTATAGCCATGTTGACGCTAAGACATTTTAGACTTTGTATACAGTATTCGTGCGTTCTAAACTTGAGTACTGCATACAAGCGGCTAGCCTCTGCTTAAAAAGGACAGTGAGTTTTTGGGAAAGGTTCAGAGAACAGCAACTAAACTGATTTCCGGGGTAGCGAAGCTGTCATATGTTGTTCGACTGGCTAAACTAAACCCTTTTCTATTGTCATATCGATGAACTAGAGGTGACTTGATTACAGTTTTAAAATAATTTAGTAATAAATTTACATTTGATACACCCTCGTTTTTCTTGTCTTCCAAAATAGAGGATTTATAAGGACACTCCAAAAAAGTTCACAAACCCAGAACAAATTACTTGTCAGCTGACTTTCGCATCGAATCATCAACGAGTGAAATTCATTACCTCAGCTCGTGGTTGAAGTTCCATCTGTCGACTCTTTCAAAAGAAAGTTGGATCAACTAAGGGATCATCATTGCCAGGACTAACACAGGCCATCAAGCCTCCTGTCCTTTCCAAACTGAAACTGAAACAGCAACTGATTTTCAAAAAGTGTAACAGTACCACATCATGAAGAAATATTCATGTTTATTGGAGGGAACCACGTTTTCTGATCGAAATTCGGGGTTTGTATTTACTAATGAATCGTCTGGTCCTTCTGAGAGCTTTAGTACAGACTTACTCGCACAATTTACTTTGAATAAATACTCTGATCAAAGTGATTATTCTTTTTCAGATGACAGTAATCAATATTCATCACTTCTGAGGTAACTGTGTTGCAAGTGATTACTATTACAGTTATGAGACACCCTGTGATACACAGCAAGGAACAGTTCGGGATAGTGATGATCACAAGTCAAAGCTTATAACACGGAAAGAATGTTCTGGAGTTAGTAATGTACTATCATCTCATTGTGCAAGCTCACTTTCTAACTTGGCTAGAAATCGTTCTAACAGGACAGCATCATCGAAATGTACTCCAGTATTTTATGAAAAACATACAGATGACAGTGGAAAACGAAGGTCTGGTTCCTGTAACTTTGTGTTTGTAAGTTACAAAGAAGTACTTTAAATATTCCCAAGCAAATGTAGGGCTATTTTTGTCTACATGTATTTGGTGTCTTCACACAGGTGTTTTAGATCGTGTGTGTGTGTGTGTGTGTGTGAAATCTGAGTTCACGTTTTGCCTATGTAATGGTGAAAAACCCAAAGTAGAAAAATGCATACTATTTTTGTTGCATTGTCTGTTAAACCGCCAATTAATTATTTGTATCTAATGGAACATGGTTTTATTGGTTACACATACAACTAGTGTCTAGCGCCACTTGGTTTTCTGTTGTATAGGCTCAGAAATCTTTCTGTTCATTACCCATGGATCAGTTCTAAAATCGTATCGCGATTGATAAAAATGTATACTTTATAGCCGAATATTTATTATTGCCAACAATTACTTTCTGAGTCCTCCTTAAGAGATTAAAATTATAGGTATGACAACACTTCAATTGTTGAAATTAAGGCGGACTATAATTTGTGAACGAACTAATTAGATATAAGACAACGAGTCTTGAATTTTAGCACGAAATTACTGCACAGCAGTTCGTTCTGTTCTACTTTACGGTTGTGGAACATGGCCATCAAAACCAGAAGATACTCGTAAGTTACTAGTATTTGACCACAGATGCCTTAGAAATATTGCTCGCATCTGCTGGGATCACCGGGTAAGTAGTAGTGAGGTTAGACGCAGAGTATTAGTGAATGATGGTAAATCGGTTGATGAGGTAATGAATCTTCATCAACTGAGGTGGTTGGGCCACGTGTTACGTATGCCTGAACACCGATTACCAGGACGCGCAACGCTGACTAGTATTGGGGGTGGCTGGAAGAGAGTTAGTGGCGGCCAAACCAAAACGTGACATCAGTCCTTGAAGTCACTAGCTTCTAGTCTGAGCTATGTTGGTAGATGCAGACTACTTGGTTGGGGTTCGCGTGACTGTCGTAACCAATGTGTATTGCTAATAAACAACCCAGCTACTCCTATTGCTTAGTATTCTTATACGATGACACTCGACAAGACCCCAAAATCAGAACACGTTGAACAGGAACGAAATTGTATTCAAAAATAACAATGGTAAGTGAACAGCAATCACTGGTTTGGACAACGTTCATATATTTATAGTATATACATAAGAAGCTTATAGATTTTTCCCCAATAATTTGCCAAGGCTGATTGATTTAGAATTAGCCAATCAGCGCGCACCACCACGATCATGCACATAACATGCCTTAATCCGGTTTATTTCCCGCTAACACAATGGTTGGAGACTCTAGGTGACATGGCTCAGAATTGACCACAATGGCGTCAGTGTATACACTCTCTGTCTTCCCTTAAACCATGAGATTAAGATTGCTTCATATCTTTCTTTCTTCCTGTACTATATCCTTATATACAATCTTTCTTTTATGTATTACCACCATTAAATTAACTATTTCTATGAATTCTGTGTTGATCTTGTTGTGCCGATAAGGTATGGCAACTTGGACCGATGCATATATGTGCCTGGTCCTACGTTATAGCTGACTGACTGACTGTTACATCTCCAAAGCATGGTTGATTTGGCAGAAGTGTGTGTAATTTGTCTATAAATTCCAACCGGCTCCCTTTAAAACACTGCTGTTGTCGCTGAAATAGCAACTGCAAATTGATTGGAAGGGAGAATCATTTTCTATTTCTGTATGAATCAACAAGGTAATAAAAAATAAAGTACCACTAATTAACAACCGATGTTGTTCAAAGACACCGATAACAATTATGTATGCTGATTGTTCGAAATAATTACACTGATTTTCGTTCAGTTACTGGCTGACTTCGGTTTTTTTTGAAGATTGAGGCTGCAGAAATTTTTTCACCCCGTCTCCGATTTGTTATAACTTGTGGCCTTGTGCCCTATAAATGTATAATGTAATTATATCGCAACTCCGCCTGTAGATCTTCTAGAGTTACTGTCAGTCTCAAGCCCGGGCAAAGGAGGATGGTTGGGCATGGGATGGGCAACCCCATCCCACAGAAAAAAATCTTGCTAAAAAACGTCAACCAGATTAAACAAATCAAACCATTTAAACTCTGCCATGGGTGTTGAAGGAAAAATTATGACGCCTCAGGGTGAAAGCCGAGATTCTTGGGAAGTCACGAGGTCAATCCCTCTTCTAACAACCAGAGCAACAATTGATATAGGTAGGTGGGATGTCATGACAATGTGGGAGATCGAGAGGACCTGTCAAATGGTATCGGAAATGGGTAGATACAACTTCTCAATACCCAAGCTAAACAGCAAAAGATAGATTCGAGAGAGATGCTGCTGTACTCTGGTCACGAAAAGGAAAATGATCCGCACACACAGGGAGTTGCTCCAGTGCTGTACAAAGACGCACGAAATATACTTATTGGGTGGTAATCTCACGGATCCAGGATCATCAAAGCATCCTTCAAAACAAAGAAGGAGAGAATCACAATGAATGTTATCCAATACTATGCATCCACCAACGACAGCGATGGCAACGACAAAGCTTAGTTTTGTGAGAGGCTGAAATCAATCATAGCGAAGTGCTCAGGAGAGATTTAAACTCAAAAGTCGGAACGGACAACATCAGGTGTAAGGATTTCATGGGACGACATGGGCTGGGAGAAAGGAATGAGATTGGTGATGGATTTGCAAATTTATATGCATTCAACAAAATTATTATAGGCGGCACAATATTACCCCACAAACTCTTACACAGGGCTATATGAATCTCACCGAACTACACTACAGAGAACCAGATTGTCCATACTTGCATCATTAAAAAATTCAGTAGGTCAATGGAAGAAGCGGGAATCAGGAGAGCAGCTGACATAACTTCAGATCACCATCTGGTTGTGGCCAAGATGAAACGAGCAAAATAGCATTACAGTGGTTTAATACAGCCTTCCGCAGAGATATTCACAAACTCAACGAATTCAAGATAGCTCTTAGCAACAGATTCCAAGCCTTACAAGATCTACTCAAAGGAGAGGAAACTACCATGGAGAACAACTGGAAACGGACCAAAGAGGCACTAACTTCAGGTGTCAGCAGGTGCTTGGGTCGCAAGAAGCATCATCATAAGGAATGGATCTCTATGGAAACCCTAGAAAAAATTCAAGAAAGGAAGAACAAAAAGGCAGCAATTAACAACAGTCGCACTGGAGCAGAGAAAGTCAAGGCACTACCTGAATACACTGAAGCAAACAAGCAAATGAAGAGTGGCATTAGAGCTGACAAGCAGAAATACGTGGAAGAACTAGCAACGACGGCGGAAAAAGCTGCAAGAAAAGGGAATATGAAACGACTATATGACACAACGAAGAAACTGTCAAGGAAATATAGTAAGCCAGAGAGACCAGTTAGGGACAAAGAAGGCGAGATAATCATTGAGATTTAAGAACAGAGGAACAGATGGGTAGAATACTTCAAGGAACTACTGAATTGACCAGCTCCATTGAATCCACCGAACATCGAAGCAGCGCCTACAGACCTTCCTATATCTGTCACTCCACCAACGATCGAAGGAATCAGGATGTCCATCACACAAATGAAGAGTGGGAAGGCAGCAAGACCTGACAAAATACCAGCTGAAGCATTGAAGTCAGACATTGAAGCAACTGCAAAGATGCTTTACCTTCTATTCAAGAAGGTTTGGGAGGAAGAAAAGTGCCGGTGGACTGGAAAGAAGGATGCCTCATCAAGATACCAAAGAAAGGAGATCTGAGCAAATGTGAGAATTACAGAGGCATCAGTTTTTTGGCAGTACCAGGAAAAGTTTTCAATAGGGTGTTGCTAAACCGGATGAAAGACGCAGTAGACGCTCGACTTTGAGATCAACATGCCGGATTCCGTAAGGATTGGTCGTGCATAGACCAAATCGCAACACTACGGATCATCGTGGAACAATCAGTTGAGTGGAGTTCGTCACTATACGTCAACTTCATTGACTATGAGAAGGCGTTTGACAGCGTGGACAGGAGAACATTATGGAAACTTCTTCGACACTATGGAGTTTCTGAAAAGATTGTCAACATTATCCAAAACTCATACGATGGACTACAGTGCAAAGTGGTGCATGGAGGACAGCTGACAGAGGCATTTGCAGTAAGGACCGGAGTCAGACAAGTTTGTCTACTCTCCCCCTTCCTCTTTCTTCTGGTGATTGACTGGATTATGAATACTTCGACATCTGAGGGGAAGCATGGAATACAATGGACATCTCAGAATCAGTTAGACGATTTGAACTTCGCAGATGACCTAGCCCACCAATCTCATACACGCGAACAAATACAGACGAAGACAACAATTGTAGCAGCAGTCTCTGCATCAGTAGATCCCAGTATGCACAAAGGAAAAAGCAAGGTCCTCAAATACAACACGGAGAACACCTACTCAATCTCATTTAATGGAGACTCTGTTGAAGATGTAGAAACTTTCACGTACGTGGGAAGCGTCATCGATGAACAAGGAGGATCTGATGAAGACGTAAAGGCGAGGATTGGCAACGTAAGGGCCGCATTCTTACAAATGAAGAACATATAGAACTCAATACAACTTTCGGTCAACCAATATCAAAGTCAGAGTCTTCAATACGAACATCAATACAGTCCTACTGTACGGAGCTGGAACTTGGAGAATCACTACAACCATCATCAAAATTGTACAAGTATTTATAAACAATTGTCTACGCAAGATACTGAAAATCCGTTGGCAGGATACTATTAGCAACAGCTTACAGTGGGAGAGAACATACCGGTTTCCAGCTGAAGAAGAAATTAGGAAAAGATGTTGGAAGTGGATAGGACATACATTACAGAAATCACCAAAATGCATCACGAGGCAAGCCCTAACTTGGAATCGTGAAGGGAAATGAAAAGGAGGAAGGCTAAAGAACACACTACATTGGGAAATGGAAGCAGATATGAAAAAGATGGATAACAACTAGAAACAGCCGGAAGAGATTGCCGAGGACAGGGTTGCATGGAGAGTACTGATGGCAGGCCTATGCTCCTCCACGAGGGGTGACAGGCGTAAGTAAGTTATTATACCGCCAGTTAGAGAACAATGACTTATCGACGTATAAACCCGTACGAGTAGTCCTGAGTGTTTATCGGTCCTTCTTCCTGAGTAGGCTTGCCTGAAGGAAAAGTTCCCAGAGGGTCGATTCGTTAGCTTTTTCATCCAATCCACCAACATATATCGTGACATCTTGATTACTCTCTTCCAAATTGATTAGTGGTATAATCGCCCATAAATCAATATACGGGGCTTTTTTAAACTCTGTTCACAACTGTATTTGTGATCAGTGATAGCTTAGAATAAATTATAGCAGCTGTAATCTAGGAAATGATAAGTAGCCTTGCTTGAATTTTATACGGGTTTCTCGTAGACTTATTGTCATAAAATTAATAATTTCCTAAATTTAATACTAATAAACCATAAATTTAATTTTCACATATTTGTCGGCATTCATCAATAATTCTTGTCCCACCCTATCGTTTGATAGCTAGGATCATGAAATGTAAAGTTAAGCCTTTTTACATTATATTCACGGATAGATGTAATTTAAATGGTATCTTATGATAGCGTATTCGTGCAGTTTGGGCTTTAGTAGTGTCCAACATCATAAGTCCTACTATTACTTTGTGAATAGACGAGTTACATAATTTGTGGTTTAAAAACAGAGTTTGCTGATTTACCTGGGAGGTTAAAACATGTATTCGTTATCTGTTCTTTCTTCCATGTAGGATGATAAAGGCCGTATTATTTTTTCTAGGCAGTATGAGTGTCTATGTTCCCTCTGTTTCATTTCTCGTATAATGAAATCCGAAAAATATAAGACCAGGTAAGTTTAGGGAGATTTTTCAAACATTTTACTCTATTACTTCAAAGTAGCATGATATCACTAAAAAACCATTATTATTCTTAAGTGTTTTTCAGTTTTAATGCTTCAAGGATCTTATCTTCCCACTGGTTTTATGATAATCGATTAGTTGCCCGATTTCCGAGAATGTTGAGGTTATTTATAATTGCAGTAACTGTATAAGAATGTATTATTTCCGAATTCAACTAACTTATCTGTTCACAATTCATTTGTAATCCCTTATTAACTGGGTTTTCATGAATTAGGATAGGAGGGTATCATTTATTGAGTTTGTGATATTCATAAATTCTTACTGATATGTATCATTCTTGCAAAAAGGAGTTAAGTCCTTTTGGCCTAACTTCATGGTGTGAGTGCTTCCGTCACTAAAATAACATTTCGAGTTAAGCAGGGAAACCTTGCATCTGACTAATTGTCTTTAGCTGTAGTTTTTTTTACATTCTTTAGACTGACTCGATTAGTAGAGAATACTTTGCTATGCTATGCCGGTACAATGGGATAAGTATGTTCAGTCTTATTCTCTGAATATTATAACAAGAGAATCACAGTTTTTAGCATGTAGTTTTATGTTTGCTAACTTACTGTGGTGTGTGTTACTGATGTCGACATATATAAGTAGTATGTATCGTCAACTAAAAGTGAAATGCCTGGCGACAGGTTAGGAAGATTGAAGAGAAGCGAACGAGAACAGAGAATGGTTAGTGTGGAAACGAAGAAACAATCAAGTCTGAGACAATTGATTGACATTTTGCAAATGAAGTGTTCACTGTATGGTTCTCAAATTTTACCAAGAGATTCTGCAATTTTGTATTCAGATACATACAGTTGTCCTCACTTGTGCTCTCGTGGACTTCATTACCACCATTACCTTGATGGATGTTTAATCTTGTAATTATTGATTAACTGTCTAAATCTTGGGAATTTGAAATAATTTTCCCTATATATTTTGAATAGTCTTTAGCAGTGACGTCCAGAAATAGGGATTCATTATATTTGAAAAACGTCAAATGTATGTGGCTGTATCGGAACAATTTATGCTTTATTTGGAACACCAGCAATAAAATCCAGGTTTATGCATCTGACGAACTCCAAATATATGTTCTGGGCTCTATTGTAGGTTATTTTCCACAATACAATCAAATTGTAAGTAGGGATGATATCGAAACATTTGTTCAACAGTCCATATTTTAACAGAGATCGAACGCTTCACTCATAATTGTTTACCAGAAGAAAGACTGAAAACCCTTTTGAACTAATAATAAATAAAATATGACATATCATGGAACGTTTATCAGATAATGAATCCGATTCTTGTGTTGAGAAATATGCGACCACTCAAAGCCTTCAGATTTGTTTATTTTGAGTTTTCATTGGTTGAAATTCTGTTGGAAATAGGTTAGAAATAATACATTATTCAGGTGGATTCGACAGTCAGCGAGAGTACTATTGTATTTTCTACTTTTGGGCAACTTAGACTATTTATTCGACTGACACATATATCAATAGTTTTATATTGATATTTTCGGTTAAAGCAAAATACATTTGATAAAGTGGAACCTGGTTGATTTATCATCTGCATTTTTTATTGTAAGTTCGTCATTTGTTATCTGGTGAACTGTACTATCTTAATTAGGCATTCTTTACACAAATATGGGGTTTGTTTTCGTTACACATTCAGTCAGTCGTCTTGGTGTTCTGTTTTCTGAAGTATATTCGGTTATCGTGAATTACGATTTCAACCACTGTAATAATTCTAGTACTTTGCCAAATAGCTAATAAAAATAATATTCACTAGTGTTAATCAATTAAATATGGATTCAACTATGCTAGGGGAGAGATATTTAATGACCGGGGCCATTCGTCAATGGACTTCCTTATATGCAGGTGAAATTGGAGACTTATGGAGTGAGATTGCATCCAGCAATGGTTTGCTCACTCTGTAGTGCCGTGCTTCGCTAATCGTTCACATCGATAACCTTTATAATACAAATCTTAACGGTGCATAAAATTAGAAGGCAAAGAGAAGAGGCAGCTACAGTTCTATTGACAAATGACGCAGGCCAGAAAGTTATGAGCACATGAGTAAATATCAGCGAGCGAAACAAAAATGACACGCATTGGAGATGGCGGGTAAGCCAACTCGCTCTTATCAAGCGTTAATCAATATTTATAGTCAGACAAGAATAAATGACAGACATGTGATAAATAGGGTAAGAAGTGTACACACACCTACGCTCATATAAAAATGGTCAGGGTTAATAAGTGAATAATTAACAAGGTGAAAAAATGACTCACGATGGATAGGTGAATTGGCTTGTCCAGAATCTAGAATAAAGTATTGAGCTTAACATATCAACCGACACTACAACTCTAAGGTTTGGAGGTTGTGGATGTGGCTTGTTGAGTATCTCTAACCAGCAAAGAAACAGAATTTCAATGATCTCTGGTTTTCAATGGTATTCTGGAAGATGTAATTCAATGGAGAAAATATCCACACAAATTATTGATCTGAATAAGCAAGCATTTTATACTCAGACTGACTAGGGAATATGAGAGCAGCAAATCATTTGCTTCGAAAACCGACTGCTTAAGTTTACTCTTGATCTTATATAACTATAAGACTATGTAGAAGTCTTAACTGAGTGATTGTCATTTAAAAAAATAAATCGGCTTATCTATTTGGGTAGAAGTTGCCTACTTCTGATGTCTTCAGAATAAAATCAAGACATGCATTATGTACACAAAATATGCTATCATATAATCAAGAACTGTATTGCACTCATACTGACTAGTGCATTCAGAGAGAAATATTCTACGACTGATAGACTTCATACTCTGGTTGAGATAAACTCTATAGAGCAAGGGGTTTTCTTCGAAATTATCATTTTGGTTGAAATAAGGAGCGGTACGTTTGATGAAACTTTGTTGTTATTGCGTTTTATATCATAAGCTGATCAGGTCTTTTTAAAATCCTTGAAATCTTTTCAGAAACATAAGGAAACAAAGCAAAACTGTGCTAGACACAGATTATCATCCTGTTAATTTAAGAAGAAAAGTATCAACCAAACAATTTAATACTAGTAATGAACAAACAGATAATCGATCATCATCCAAAGTTTCACTTCATGGTGGGTGTTCACCTTCCTCAGATTTGTATGATATAACAGAATGCTTGATCAGTGAATGTGTTCGTGACCATTTATTGATCAAACCTGTGATCGCTAAAAATGACCATAACGTAACTATAAGCTCAAACAGTGATGTAGTGAATAACGCTGAATGTCTACACAATTCGAATGATAAACTGTCGGCATGGGGATGTTGGTTGTTAGAGAAAGAAAAACAGAAACGAGAACAAAGAAAAGAGTCAAAAAAGAAACAGGTAAAAATGTATTATACATTATTTCTATGGGGAAAATTACTGCAAGTGATGATGATTAGCTTAAACGAGAAATGGCCTTGACTTCACAGGCTGTATGACTGACTTAGGGCAAGCAAATCATGTAATTAAGCACTTACAATCTACAGATAATATCGAACATCTCGTTTTTGCAAAATTTAATTTATTAGGAAAGAATAGCTCTTATCACTAATGAATTTTAAAAGGAGAATCACTAAAAAAGAAGTCAAGGAGCACTCAGCGTCCGGTTTGTGGATGTTTCTACGGTTCCAGACAAACGAAAGAAATTTCTGAGAAAATCTGTTTTTGTACGTAGCTTAGTGACTCTTAATAAGATATTTAGTTACAAATAAAATATAGTGTACCCAAAAGGCGGGATACAACTCTTGACGAACTCGAATGACGCAATATAAAGTCTTTTCCTTAATAACTAAAGAATAACTAAATAATAATTGTTCCGTTGTACTATTTAAACTTGGATTAATGTTAATTTAGTTATTTATTTTCTGAAGAAGTGGCTTACACTGAGTCACGAAACGTCAGAAAATCTAATTTTTCTACTCATTGGGATATTACAAATATATTAATTATTTAAAAGAATAACTACGTTTATATATTCAAGATATTAGTATGTTAATGTCTTCAACTATAGTTTGAAATGAGACTGTCATATAAGATAGAACACTTAACATGTGTGATGTTTTTGCGCTACATATTTCGAACAATCTGGCCACATATATTTGTAAAGGGATTTTATACGAGAAGTGATAAAGGTCAGATAAATGAAAGTTCAGGTAAGTGAAGTGATAATTGTAGATAAAGAAGAAAGAAACCAACAGTATGAAAAGAATAGAAAATTCTTGCACTACCCTACTGTTATAAAGGTAGGATACTTGTTATAACGCTAGGGTTTCTTGTTATAACAGTCCTTTCACTTTTTACACGTATGTGGGACGTTAATTTACCTCAGACGAATATCTAGACTACATCCTCTCCCAGTGTCTTTTCTACAGGACTTCAACACAACTCAAATCAAGAACACGAGACTAGCCTGACTAGAACGTCAATATATTTCCACACCAAAATCCGACACAATCCAACAACAAGAACAATGAATAATAATCAGGATAGGGGAATATATAACACAAAAACACCTGTCATCTTATATAGTGTCTGACTCAGCAAAACACCCAATCATTCTCGCCCAAACATCACCTACACTATGCAAACGACTCAAAGATCACCACGGCGAATTCGAAGTTACGGCATATTGTTTCTGTACACAAAGGGGGGGTTGAGTCTGAGAATAGTCAAAACTTCTATGAAGCTGACGTTTATCACTTTTCTCATAAAATGCCTTGACAAATATATGTGTGACCAGATTGTTCGAAATATGTAGCTCAAAAACATCACACTTTTCAGATTGATTCTATCGTTTCACTGTTCTGTTAAAATGTATAAAATAGACCGATTACTTTAATTGTTCTGCTTTGTTTTCTTCATACTATTTGGACTTGTGTCAATCTATTTCGGTTATTTATTTACTCTGAAGAGGCGACTTACATTGAGTCACGAAACGTCAGAAGTATAAATTCCTACTTATTGGGATGTCTTAAAAGTCGAATCTATATTTGAATACATTTGTTAATTATTATTATTCATAACAATAATGGTGATTAATTTTGAAAAAAATGTTTTAAAGATTGAAGAAATTCAAAAGAGGAATCAATTATTGGTGCAAAAAATAAATCGTAGAAGGTTTGTTGAACAAAAATATAAAGAATGGATTGAAGCAAAACAAAAAGAAAGAATAAAAATAAAAAAACTTTTAGAGATAGAGAAGAAAAATGAAGAATCAAAAAAACTACAAGAATTACTTGAACACGTAAGTTATAACTTTTATTTATCCTTTTTAACATATAGATGCAATACATTGACTTGTTAATACTTTCTTTGACTAAGAATATATTTTACATTTTGTGACTTTAGATTAACAATTTAGTGAAATTGCTATATGTATTAAATAATTCTGTGTGTTCACTGTACAGACTTTTATTCGAGTCTGTATTTTTGTAAAATAAGTGTAAGTTATTCTCATTTCATTGTTTAGCACTTGATAGATCAATTATAAAACGTGATCATTTGATATGTCTGTTAGAAATATACCACTTCATACTATAATTCATATCGATAACCTGAATAAGATGTATTATGATCAACAAAGTTGGAACAGAAGCAACTATCTGCCAGTAATATTAAATACTGATTACATTTTATTGTAAATTGACTTAGTTTGATTTTTACTCAGTGATGCTTTACCTGTGAAAAGATCGGGACGCCGTAGGTTTAAATTCTTATAAATTTGTAGGTAGAGAGTCTCGAAATAATTGGAAACAGTTGACAAATACTGTTATGACTTGACCTAGCCGTCGTCAATTTGTTATGTTTTTGACCTAGGCTGCAGCCAATTGTTATGACTTGATCAAGGTCGTCGCTGATTCGTTATGACCTTACGAATTTAACAAGGACGTAATTCGCGTAAATTATCCACCAATAGAATACGCCTTCTACGACCTTCACACTGTGACAATGACGTTCGATTAATATGAGTAATCTAGCGTCCTTATTGGTCCTTATCCGCCTAACCCGTCCACTTAAGTCCAAAACACCAATACGAATCGTTTATTTCAAGCATACTTTGTTTATATATCAAACAGACAGACCACATCATACCATAAAATAGAAAATAATATTTGTACAAAACCAAGCCAAATGAGGCTGTAAGCGTGGGAGACAATAATCAATAAACCGAACATAGGAACAGTAAATCATACAATAATAATCAATAGGTCAAAATGAAGCCTACAATAAGATGAATATAGATATAGATAATCTAGTTACCGAATAGTTAAACGATAAGAATGATAGTCCAATAGTAGGTCCTGCAAGTTACCGGTACTTATGTCTTCGCTACTACATAACAAATACCCACAGGACTAGCGATTTTTACAGCTGATAAGTCCGTTATTAAAAATATCATACTAATTAAGAGTCAAAGGTCATAAGTATCCATGAATTAAGAGTTTAGTAACCAATAGTCTCCCATACTATTGACCAGATTATGGATGTATATGAAGTAAAAATGAGAAATGTTTAATACCTATCTCCCATCACCACTAAAGGATGTAACGGTGTTAGGATAGGACTTCATGTTGTGTAAATCAGTGTGATTGAAGGACATTAAGAATGAAAAATCTAAACAACAAATCATCACACCAAAGATTGTTCACTCATCAGTCTTAAATGCTTCTGTGTACCATTCAGATTCTCAAAATTATGGAATAAATAACAAGAAAGGTGAACGGTTTCCAGTAGTTGAACCCAGTAAAGCGAAATATCAGTATTTTCTCTGTTCTCTTTTTAAAAGCTTTCTCAAATCTATCTAAGTGCTTTACTCTACTGAGTAAAACTAATTCAACACACTTGTCACTATAACTCGAGTTTTCTTGTTATGAATTTGCAAGACTGATTTGATCGGTCGATATTTCTCGGTATACCATCCAATGCGACTGACAATATCTGTCTCACTATCTAAACGGTTGAATTTATCAGTCATTACTCTGCAATAAAACTACGGACATTCTTATCAACATTAGTTAATAGTGATTACTATTTAGACAAGAAATTTGGGAATTTTTTGTCACGGTAATGATGGTGATATTGATAAAAAGTGTTTAGCTTAGTCTACTAAATGTTCTCTAACTAAAGTTTAATCTGGCAATAAATCTGAAAACCAAAATAGCAAAAGCCCAAAGTTCACTTTAGTTTTATCAAAACAATACTTATCATAGTGGGTTATGAAGAAAGTTACATTTCACAGTTTACATCATTGACAGATTTTATTGAGACAAATATTGAAAACCATCATACGCTTGCTGGTAACTAACTTATAGTGATAATTCCTGGAGTTCTAGAGAAAAGATACGACTAGTAGAGTTCAGTCGTATCGAGCATGAGACAACCATCATCAATCACGACGGTCATAAATATCGAGAATTAATTGAAGTTAGACAAACCACTGAATGCCGGTTCAGTGGTCTGAAAGTTAAGAGCTTGGCGAGAGACTTAGAGGTCTTTGATTCCATCCTCGGTGGAGTTGTGGATGTGCACTACTGGGAAGTCCTACTCTTCGACATAAAAGCTGTCCAGTGCTTCACGCTTACCTAAGAATCCGTGATGTAAACTACAAAATGATACTGTCGAATGGAGTCATTTCAGTCTTTTAATTTACCGGTAATTTTTATAGTCACAGTTCTGTATAAGATAAGTGTGGTGGTTTGTATAATAGTTGTAGAAAGATTAGATGCTTGGATTCATCACTAATATGATATTATTTCTACTCATTTGTTTTCTGAAGTATAAAGGGATCATTGTGTACACGAAACGCTCTTCTGCTATGGTCTCTTGAAAATTCTGTAGGTTGATTTAGTATTAATAAAAAAACTACATGCCATTAGCCTCACTTTAGTTGCCTTAATGTGTTAGAAAGAACTAAATTTCAATTCAAATTTGTGACCATAATCTTCAAAGATCCTATTTGTTCACAGTTTACTGATTACACATCTTAAGTAGTATTTTGAAAGGACGTAGTTTTTGTTTTGTCGTAACTCAGACACAGAAATCCAAATTGAAATATAAAGAATGGTGTAAAAAGAAGACTGAAGAAGAGTATAAGAAAATCGAATATATAAGACAAGTTGAATTCAAAAAACACCTAGCTAATCAAACTCGTAAAGAAGCTTCAACTGTAGCCTATGACCATTGGTTAAAATCGACTGGTTGTAAGAAATCCGCTCCATACTATTCACATGGATATTCTGATGGAAAACTTATAGGTAGATTTAATTTTATTTGTCATTTTTTCTCGAAATCACATAGTGGTTAATAGTTATAGGTCACAATGCTCGCTTTTTCTGAATCCGTTCGGATAACCGAATGGTATTACTAGTTACCACACAAAAAGACGCGGCTGAAAGCGAGATAAATTATTCTACGCTTGATTTATCTTTTATGGTGTTGTATCTCCTTCGGTCTGGGTAATTTGGGATGAGGTGAATGGGTTGGTTTGTGGGGGACATCGGCTCATGAGGGTTTCAGAATCTTTGTAGTGGTTTCTGAGACAATTTTCATAGACAGTAGGACGATCTATTTCTTAGTTTCTAGAATTGATTTTTTGACAGCATACCGACTGGTTAGGGAACTTTCGATGACATCTCTGAGGTATCCATTCTTATGAAAGACGGAGATGAGATTCTCCGATTTTTCGAGTAGTGGCAGTGCAGTAGTAGTTTCAGCTCTTTTATATATTATCTGTGCACAACTCCTTTGGCTTCATGCTGAGTTATTGTCGTTGAAGTCAATTATGTGGTCAGTAAGGCTTTACTTCATACCTACTTGTTTTTAAAGCTGCTGTGTTCGTCCTGTTGGTTAAAGTATCTGAAAATAAGATTTTGTTTCCTGATCCCTCTTCTCTTGTAAATTTGATGTCATCGAAGATGTTAATCAACTAATGAATATTTTTAAGTCTACCTCACTTCATGATGATGGATGTATGATCTACGTAACGTACTAAATCCTTCTGTTTGATTATTGGTAGAGCTGTATTTAGCCGATATATTATATATATATATATATGATCTGTCTGTTAACCTGAATGTTAAGTTGGAAATATGTTGCAAGAAACAGATCTATAAGTTCGACCAAACTTAGGCGCTGTATCCTGTAAGTTGTTTGTAGATGCTGAGCATTTGTAATATGGTATCTGTGTAAGATTTGTTCCTACTGAAGTAAGTAAAGCCATAGCACTAGGGATCATTATTTTGTCATTGCCTATTTATAGGTTTTTGATGTCTCCTAAGAACTGTGTTGGGCATTTGAGAGTGATCGAATGAATTCAGTCAGATGTTACACAATTCTGTAGAGTTCTTTGAACAATCTGTAAGTTCGTGTCACTGGAACTGACAAGATTGACCGTAATGGGATTTATTGGCGGTGTGACTGTCATTTGCCGTCGAATCGGGGGATAATTTAGTTGGATTTTATTCAACACTGAACCTGCTTTGTCCTTCTGAGACAAGTTTATTTAAAGGTCTGTTGACTTGAATGTCCAACTTTTTAAAGGGATTTCTTATTAGTGGTCGGCATACATTGTTGTCTTTGAGCAGACGCTCAGTTTTCTTGATTTGGTCGTTATTTTATAACTTCTGTTGCCTCCTGATACTAAGACGACGTCCCTTTAGTCCTCCAACCATTTTTAGACTGTTTGCGCTTGTGTGGTTAATGTAGGATTAACCTTTTTCTGTATAATCAGAGTTACTGAAGTTAGACTGATTTCTTGTCGAATTTTTTAAATTTAGTTCTAGTGTCTTTAGTGATGATTCGAAAGCTGTGCAGAATCCTGTTTTCGAAGCGTTATTGACTAATTGTTAAGTGCCCATTACTAGACCTGATGGCTAGGGGCTCGACCTATCGATGCTCAGTGCTGAGGAGTCTCATACTGGAACAAACCGTGTGTCCAGTGATCTGTAGTTTTTAATGGTGCCCAACCTGAGGTCAATATGTGACAAATATCATACAGAAATTAAACCAATTTCCCCAAAATCATAGGGTTACGGATATATAAAAGGTTGCACTGACTGAAATCTATTAATACAGGAGAGAGCAAGTAAACTTAACCATCATTACTACAATGACAAGACAATATTATTGATAAACAATTATTTTACATAGCATCCTGAAGTTAATACTTTACCTGTTTAGAGTAGATAGACAAAACAGTGTAGAATTCAACGAAGGATTTCACAGAAATAAAGTTGGACGAATCAGTTTTAGGAAGATAATCTAATCACATTTTAAATCAACTTGATGCCATGATTCTTGTAGTATTGTGTGCTGCGGTATTCATGAAATAGTAATTTCCTAGAATATGCAATGGAAGGATTAACTGACGAGTTTAGGTAGATCTTTACGGGTACATAGATAGGGAATAATTGATCGTTAGCATATATAACTTTATGTCCAAAGGCATGTTTTCCACAAAAAATGTTTTACGTTTTTTCTTTCTATACTTCAACACAGACTATTACGATCGAACAGCCAATCCTTCTCCAAGTTTTGTGAATCCCAATCCATGGATTAATCCTACAGACTAAACTTTACAGAGCTGATACAAGACAACAGTCCAGCAATTATACCGGCCAATCTTATCAAAAATCCTATTTACTTTGCAATTCACAAAGTTGTAATAATGTACATTGTTGAGTAGATTACTTTCAATGCTTCACTAGTCATGATAAAATCTAAGGGGAGGGTGACCGTTAGATTTTGTCAAAACCAGCTGAGCAGTATGAAAATTTTATGGTTCCTTAATTTAGTAGATATTAGGTTACATCTTCCACAATCCTTACTCTTAATTACAATTACATATTGTAACATGTTCATAAGGAAGTTGCAATTTTTGGACGTGTTCGAACCTACCAGTTGAGTATATCTCTCATATATTTGATTCCATATATTTTCAAGACTTGATTATGCTATTTAGAGGATATTATAACTTTGGGTCGGATTAC